TTTAACTCCAGGCATCTGCCCGCCTGATGGTACAGCACAGATCTCGCCTTGACTGTAAACCCAAGCATATGTTTATAGGGAGAAATTAGTATAGTACACTCTAAAAAATGCTGTATGCCAATGTTGGGTCAAATATGGACTAACCCAACTGTTGGGTTAAATTTTGGTTACATTTTTAAATTAGCTTTTTAACCCAACAGCTGGGTTAGTCCATATTTGACCCACCATTGGGTTGAAACAACCCAGCATTTTTTAGAGTGTAAGATTGTGAAGATTCTGTAAAGTATAAGGTGTTCTAACTACTACATGACATGGGCAATGATCATGAGATCAAATTCACAACATCCTGTCATTTTCAGCACATCATCATCCACTAACCAGTCGAACAGGCTTGAATCAGCATGTTTGCACTGTAAATAGACAATGTGTCTGCCTCAATTTGTCACCAGCTCCGCTGTGCAAAATTAAACATGAGCAAAAATATGCTAAACAACAATGAATGAGAAAAATATGCCCATATTTGTACAGTGACATGCAGATGGCATCTAAGCGATGGGTAATTCAGCAAACACTGATCTACTTCTGCTCCAGAAGTAAACATATCAACCATATCAAATTGAAAAAGCCCATGGCTAGTGCACGTGTTTAGCAGTGCAAATATAATACAACACAATTCATTGAGCATCAATTCATTAAGGTCACCATTTACCTGTATGACTTTCTTTTTCTGCAGAAAACAAATGGACCCCTAAATGTTGCAAAGAAAGTGCAAAGGCTTAAACATTCTTCAGAATATTTTCTTTTGTGTTTTACAGAAGAAAGTGCAACAGAAGGATGAGTTAATGATGACAGAATTATATTTTTGAGGTGAGCTATCGTTTAAACAAATTGAATTTGCAATTGTTTTTGGACGTATACGTTGAGACAAAATCCAAACGCAATTGCAAATCACACATTTGTGTTTCCATTTTCTTTTCCATGTATGTAACATGTCTGCCAAATTTTACATTGAAACGCAAAGTCCAACTGCAATTGTATTTCCAGTGTCTTACAAGTAATGACCCTGCCATTTTGGAATAGCAATTTAAAATCACCCATTTGCTATTTCCCTTTGATATAGTTGGAAAGTATGCCACGCTGCCACTGCTGGTGGGAAATGATGCACCGTTTTCATTTTTATTCATTTGAATGAGGAAAATGGGGACAAATATTCAATAAATGTGTCTATTTTTGCCACAAATAATGAGTAAAACTGCTGTGTACCTTTTTTCACTTCAAGCAAAGCCAAAAACCTGGAACTAAATATTTATCACTTGCAAACAAACAAAAGAAACCAAAAGAAGACGGCTCTGGTTGCCAACAAACATCAAGAAGAAATGAAGATACATCTATGGAACCTCACAACTGCACACCGTGCACTGTGAAGAGAAGCACAGTGCCGTACCATCTTTAAACTTGAAACAAACTGTTTTCTATGAGTGTACGCACACCGGCCACAGAAAACCACTCACTAGTTTTCCATTAAATCACATACTATTTGTCCCTAATTATTATTAATGTACATTTTGACTGGAAAATCATGTATTGTGCATTTTTCAGCAAAACGTTTATCTGTGGCTTGAATAAAGTCTGTATGCTTCATATAAAGAGCTATGGATCATGCTTGCTCTTTCCATTTGCTCTGTTTTGTCATACACCAATCTTCAAACTCATCGACACCACTTTGTTCATTCTTAAAGCGAACTTTTGCCTGTTTGTTGATTAGATTAACCGTTTGAACTGCCGTCTTGGACTATACTTGAAGGTATCGGTGTGCAATACCTGTGAGTTGTTCATGGAACTGCACTTTTCTGTGTGCGACTGAAAATTATGTCTGCTATTTTATTACATCAAAAAGATACAAATACAATTTATAATTAAAAAAATAATAGTAATGTTGAATAAAATGCTGAAATGAAACAGAATTCAGAGCATCCTCCTACGAACTGAACATGAGCTGTGATAGAATGTCACTACCAATGTAATTTTCTTTTTTCTGATTCGTTTATTTATTTATTCTTTTGATTGCTTGGATTGTGAGCACATGGACAACTCACCACTCGCATCATGTCAAGATTCAACAGATTCTCTCATTTTAATTCATCAAGATAATTCACTGTGTCAGCTGGAAAAGTGATGATATTCAATCGATACATTCTTGAATCTTCTAGTCCAATGTTTCCCAAGCACCCCAGGTATTTGACTCTTTACCACTATGCATCCAGTATATGACCCATTGCCGACTGCAGTTATTTTGCTTCTTTTTTTCTGGTTGACAGGTGAACATAAAATCAGTTCTGGATTCTTGACTTGTTTGAAGTGTTAGGCATTGGAAATGCAAGTGCAAAGGGGATTGCGAATCCATTTGAATTTTGTGAGGGTTGGAGTGGGACGCGGAGAAAGCGAAATAGCAAATGGGTGATTTTCTATTGTTTTTCCAAAATTACAGAATCATAACTTGTAGAAACATTGGAAATGCAATTGCAAGTGGACTTTATGTTTCCATTTGAAATTTGGCAGACGTGTTACATACACGGAAAAGAAAATGGAAACACAAATGCACGATTTGCAATTGCGTTTGAATAATGTCACAATGTCTGTGTCCACAAATTGAAAATGCAATTGCAAATACATACACAAAGAACTGTTTTTTAACAAAAACCATAGGGAAAATATTTGCATGTATTCATTCCATTTTTCCATAAACCTCAATTACCATATAACGGCATCACACTAGGGCTGTGCATTAGGGATGCCGCGATTAACCGGCTTCGCGATTAATCGCGCTTTAAAACGTCACAGTTAATTAATCGTAAAGTTTCGCTAAACCGAGTGTTTCTGTTACAAGGAACGGAACTGTTGCAGCTTGCACAAAACAAAAACAAAGTTACACTAGCGGTGCACCAGCTTAAAATGACGTGCTTCTAATGAGGCTAGTACATGCATTAGATTAACTGTGACAGAGGAACCAAACAGCGAAGCTTTATTTCCACCAGAGAAATGCCTGTCGATAGTGTGGGACCATTTTGGGTACACCAAGAATGAGCAGGGTGTCATTTAAATATTGCTGTAAAAAAACTGCTGCTAAAGAGCGAATACATAAGGGATGATGCACGGCTAGCTGTACATCTTTTGTTTATTATAATTTTGTGCTCTATTGTTGGTTACTGTGTTATTTCTGTTTCAAAAGCCAGCAATAAATGACACTTTAATATCTAAAGAGTGTTCATGTGATTTTATACATTAGTAATGCTGGGAAATTAATAAATGCATAATAATCGTCATAATCGTAAAAACCGTGATTATTCCTCAGACAATAATCGTACCAACAATATCTATAATCGTTGCATCCCTAATGTGTATTAGGGCTGTCGCGGTGAGGGAATTTCCTTTGCGGTAATTTTGAGTGGCTCAATAGCGCGGTATGCGGTATTATCACCATTAATATACATATACTGTATATATATATATATATATATATATATATATATATATATATGCACAGACACACACACATATATATATATATATATATATATATATATATATATATATATATATATTGTATGTGTGTGTGTGTATATATATATATATATACACATTTTTTGTAAAATACCATTTTTGAATAAGAAATGCATATATTTATGTAGTGTGAAGTCTGATCTTTGAGAAAATATAAAGGCTCACTAACTTCGTCAATTCTTTCACTGCTTTTTTTTAAACATTTTTACTGAACTCTACCATTGTCCTATGGTGTGACAAAAAAAGAAAAAGAAAAAAAAACTATAATGAACTAAAACTAAAAATTAATAATACATAAATAGCATGAGAGAGATTTATCTTCTTTGTTATACACTTATTTTCATATAGTGCTACTTATTTAATATGAAACTATAATTAACATAATTTTTTACCCCATGACTTGTTGGACAATTTCAAGACAAACTTTGCTGTCATCTGTTAATAGCGCGGTATTGCGATATTGCGGTTATCGCGACAGCCCTACTGTGTATCACCAGCAAAGTCACGATATGTATCACGATACAGAGGCCACGATACGATACATATCACTATACGGGACTGCACTGAATTTCACCTCAGAAGAATTTAGTAAAACAGCTGTTTATTAAACACTGCATACTAAAGTGCCATTTCTAACTATTGGCAGAGCAGGCAGTTGACCTCTGCATTATGAAGGGCCTCCATAACTGTACCACAGTAAAATAGCCTACAGGTAATGGCATATGTTTCATGTTTACATTGGGCACTCCCCACCAGGTACAATATTCTGATTTTTTACATCTTGTTTTTAAGCCCATAAATAATAATGTACTCGTTCTAATAAATTTATATTGTAATGTTCTCATTCTAATGTATTTAAAAAAATCATATTTACATTGCTGGTAGGTTATCATTTCACAAATTAACACACTCTCTACGTTTAGAGTTCTAAACAAATGCGCTGTCTTCTGTATCTAACTCACACACCCGCTCAGTCACTCACACTCAAGTGCTACATTATCTTTCTCAACAAGGAGCTGGTAACATCATTGTTTCTAAAGGAATTAAAGCCACAGCTTCTTAAGAGAACAAAACCAACCAATATTTACATTTCTTAATAGAACAAAACCCACGAGTATTTCAGTCTCTTATTTCGTATTATCAAATCTCTGTGACGATACATTGTCGTATCAATGTAACGAACACAACACTACATCACACCTAGTCATTTCAAGCCTAATTATATGACATGGTATGTAATGTTGCATAACCAATTTATTGCTAGGCAACTGCACTGGCCATTATAATCAACATTCTCATTTCCATCAAAGACCTGCAGGACAGTAAGGCAATACAAAACTTTTATCATTCAGTTCAGTGCCTCATCATCTAACGAACTAACAGCAAAATAATCATGCAGCCATAAACAGCCATTAAGAAAGAGTTAAAGAGCTCTGTACCTTTCATCTCTCCCATGTCTAAAGTCTTCCCTAATTGTTCCAGCAGTTCTGCACGTGCTGCGTTCTTCTTGTGCTTTTTTCCATCGTAGTGTTGCTGTGCCATTCCAGGATTGTTGAACCAAGCATTGCACAGCTGACAGTAGCGATCAGAATCCCGGTGCTGACGGGTTGAGCGCAAAGGTGAGGTTTCTGAGGAGGGTGTCTTCACTGGACTAGGTGGCACCTCTGAAGAAAGCAGAACACGAGTTACATTGGATTATTGATTTAATTCATTATTTTATATTTAATATATCCAAGACTTTGGATTTGAGAGCAATAGCAAAACATGCTGGGGAGGTATATTTGGTAAGTCTGCAGAAGTTTGGAAACCAGGGACAACATGGTCAATTCTGTATATAGAACTTTAGGCAATGGCCAAGATTCTGTCCTCTCTAGGACACACCCCTAAATACGTGGGTTGAGATTCACAGGAGACTTTTTTTCTCCACATTTCCATCACACTCTCTGTACATGTTTGTTAGAATCGGGGATCAAAGGATTTGCCTATATTTTGCCAATGTTGGAGAAGATGAGAAAATGTATTTCTTACTGGCCATAAAACTGTATTTCGTATTATTTTTATTTTAAAATAAGAATATAAATAAATTAAAAATATATACTACCATTCAAAAGTATGCATTAAATTAAATGCTGTTCTTTTGAACTTTCCATTCATCATGATTCCTGAAAATTTTCCATTCACATTGTAACAAACATCACAGGAAATGTCACTTGCAGCATTACCGTCTCCATTTCTCAGTGAAATGCACATGCCACAAAAACAAAGAAAACATTTTTGATTTTGTCCATCTTATTACTGTTTCAAAGGCTTACCATGAAAAATATTCTATATGTTTGTCACAACATGGATTTCTAGAGAAAAATGAATTTAAGTAACTTAGATAAAAGTTGTTCGAATAGGTGAGGGTTGACTGTTTTGATTTGAATAGCTTACATCACAAGTGGCGGACTATCAGTTTAAAAGCATGCAATATTGCCATTTCTAATCAAATTGTCCACCAACTGTTTGTTTTTTTATTCATTTGCCAAAGCCAAGTTTTACTCTCATTTGGAGCTTTCAGAGAGTGAATTTGGACCTGTTTGCAATCCAGATAGCTTGAGGATTTTTGGATTTTCTATAAGTACATGCTCAGACAACTCACATAAATTATTCCCAGCTATGTGATGACATTTTACTACTTGGATAACTCAATGAATCAAAGAAAAATATGTGTCTTATTCTTGTTCACTGCACTGATTCTGGTTGGAAATTCTTTCTGATCTTGACAGCAACAACACAATCACTGGGACTTTACTTATCCTTCTGTTTAGATATGTCCTAAGTATCTTAGATTTTATATTTTTATGCATGTGTATTTTATTCACATCTCACTTTTATTATCTGTGTGTTGTTGTTGTCTCCGTGTACTGGAAGCTTGTGACACTATAACAAATTCCTTGTATGTGCAAACATACTTGGCAATAAAGCTCTTTCTGATTCTGATTCTCTTCTTCATAACTAACAAGCTGTTGTCACTGACTTTATCAGGAAGGTGATGATTTGCATTGTGTCCGACAGTCCTGCGTCTGACCCCCCCCACACAAAGCCAAGCTTCTTTACTCATTTACTGTATACTTATGCATTTTCATGCATGGATGGCGGCATCACCACAGAGCATAAAGAATAAACACAAAACACACCAGAGAATCATAATGCCGGGCCTAACAATCGGTTTTAACACCTCAGTGGCTGTCCACTCTGCCATGGACAATGTTTACAAAAGCTCTGTTCAACCTTGACATCACATCCCATTATTTGGCAGAAGGGACAATCGGAGAGAATGAGAGTGAACTGAACCAATATCTTTGACAGTTTGTTCACATTTACACTGACTGCTCTAAACTGTTCTTCAGCCTTATTTGCAACTTTATATATGATTTGATACATGAACAAATGTTGCCTTGACAATAAACAAAATGTCAAAAGTGCAAGGCAAATACAAATTTAATAAAAGTGACAGTAAAATAAAACACATAATGTGTAATTCATAAAACTCCCTTAAGCCCTTGCTGCAGTTATTGGAGTATCTGACAGACTCTTGCAGTATAACACTATGGATATTGGCAGAATCTGGCACCTGCACTGAAACATTGGAGTACTGATTTACAAGCTCAGGGGTTTAAAGAATGTCATCCATCAAAAGGAAAAACATGAAAGTTTCTAGTTTCGTACAAACACAAGACCAAGACCATCCTTGTACAATGCAAGAGAGCTGAGTTTTATACCGGGTCACCAAGCTTTTTGACATTATTGGTTACACTTTACTTGAAGGGGTGTGCATAAGACTGACATGACACCTTCATAATCATGACATGACACATGCCATGAATATGAAGGTTTTTTATGCATGTTTATGACAACTGTCATTAAGTGTCATTCACTCAGTTATGTAATTTTTAATGCAAAGATGACATTGTTTGAGATGTCTTTGTTATGGGCTATGGTTAGGGGTAAGGGTAGGGGTAGGGTTAGGTCAAATAATGTCATATTTGCATTAAAAATGACATAACTGAGCGAATGACACTTAATGACAGTTGTCATAAACATGCATAAAACCTCCTTCATATTTATGTCATGTGTCATGTCATGATTATGAAGGTGTCATGTCAGTCTTATGCACACCCCTTCAAGTAAAGTGTTACCACATTATTTACTAGATTATTTGCACTTGTGAGTTATGTGTCACATGGTGACCACTTACTACCAGTTCCTTGCTTTAATATTGTCACTGTCACTGTGTTTTGTGTGTGGAATAGAATATGCGGAGCTGAATGCCCTGATTCATTGTTATATGTGTGTACTAAAATGCCATGTATTCTTGTTCTGCAGGGACCATCGTTATAAAACATTGCTCACATGTCATTCACAAAAAGTTGGATAGCCAGTCTGCTTGTGTGACAGTTCACTTGTTTGGTGAATCATTCTAAAATATCAGAATTTAAAATAACTCTTTTCTATTTCAATTATACTTAAAAAAGTAATTTATCCCTGAGATGGCAAAGCTGAATTTTCAGCAGCCATTATTCCGGACTTCAGTGTCACATGATCCTTCAAAAATCATTTGAATATACTCATCTGATGCTCAAGAGACATATCTTATATTTATTAATCTTGAAAACAGTTGAGCTGCTTCATATTTTGTGAGATAAATTTCTTCAGGATTATTTGAGGAATAGAAAGTTCAAAAATAGCATTTATTGTAAACAGAAATCTTTTATAACATTATACATATCTTTACTTTTACTTTTGAATAAAAAAGACTTACTGACCCCAAACTTTTGAACAAATATATACACTACCTTTCATGAAGTCCTTCCAGAAATATCACCATCACTCACCATCACTAGTCTCCCAATGCAGACGGCAATGTCTCACCCAATGTAATTACTGCAACCAGACTTCTGCCTTAACAGTCCTTCTGTACTGCTCAAATTAAATTTGGTGCCACAGGCCTGTGACACTGAAGTCGTTCATTACCGCTATCTCAGTTTTACTTAATGTTCTCATGGTCACCGGGGTGGCCACAACCTTGTTCATGACTGTTACTCCTAGCTCTTTTTTGGGAATGAAACCAGCTCTTTTACATTATTTTAGTGTATCATTAGCACCTTACTGTCCACTCCCCCACTGTGCCTCTTATTCACAAGCTCAGGGAGGAGCAATGAGCATGTCTTGATCCCCAGAAGGCAGAAGCACCTCCATCCTTCCATTTATTTGCTGCCCTTTGCCTACTGCAGCATAAAAGCATTTTAAAATCGCTTAGAAGGCTCCCGAGTATCACTGGTTAAGGAGAGGCTATTTCTATTATATATATGACAGAAATGGAATTAGGGAAAGAGGAAGGGATAGCAGGTTGAAAAAAACAACAACAACAAACACGTTCATAAAAGCACTGACTGAAATAATTTCAAGTCTCTCACATTCTAAAAAAATCAGTTCATGGCCACTGCTGCAGTGAAAAAGATTCCCCGGCAATGTGCTTCCTGTCTCCTTTATAACAAACAATATTCTGACACCAGCAGGCAGGAGATTTCAAACATTAATGAGATTCTGTGGGAGGAAATAACAAAAAAAACTTCAGGTAATTCCAGGTGACAGTTTAGGCAATAAGGGAAGAGTCATCTATCAGGAGATTTACTGCAGGCACAAAGACAGCTACTGGATTTGGGTGACATAAATATGGAGAGGGACTTTCTAAGAGATCATTCATCCAAGCATACAGCCTGCACAAGTCATATGCACAAAACTTTGTGTGATTCCTTAGCGACAACTGTTGCGTGTTGTTAGGTCTGAGTAAACCCACACGTCTACATACTTTTATCACATTTAATTGTGGGGGAAAACATGCAAAATATCTGAAATATTTAGAAAGCGAACATGCAAGGTGCAGGCTGTAGCGAATCAGCTCAAAGGGGAAATATGAATAAGTAATCATAACTAGTTATAATCATTTATAAATATTTAGATCCGCTGTAAGCATTCATTTGACCTCTCAGTGTCAACTGTCTGTTAATTCTAAGAACGTTAATTTCCTGGTTAAGGAAAATAACTTTCTTACTGTACAATACTACTCAGAGCATGTAGCAAAAATCTGCATGATTAGGGACTCCAGTTATGAGCAAACAATGAACAACGTCAAGTGTGATACAAGTAAGACTTTATTAACTACATAAACACTTAAACTAGTCTAACATACACATACACACACACACACACACAATTAATCACTCATACAGGGGAAAGGGCAAATGAGACTTGATGTTCTGACTCGATGGTGATTGGGAGTTTCTTCCCAGTGAAAAGTGAAAAAGAGCTAGGAGAGACATCAGCTGAGATCCTAGGATCTTTGGTGAATGGAAAGTCAAGGCCGAAGCCTGGAGAAAGAAGAAACTCCCAATCAGTCAGAACATCTTTGGAGTTCATCACTCTTCAAACCCGGAAGAAGGTGATCGCGACTCCTACACCACCGAACCTCCAAACCATCATCAAGACTTTCATCCGAGACTGCATCCGTACGCTCGTTCCAGGCCAAGGCAACGCAAGTATCGTACATTTAAATAAACAAACTTAGGGTGTCCTTAGGAGAGTTCTAGCTCACATCCTCATCTTCTCAGAATCTAACAGA